TAATAGTTATGTGTAATATTAGTTAACTGAGATGGGAACAAATTCACTGAATGTAATCAACAACAACAAAAAAAGAAAACAATAATCTAAAACCCAACATGTTTGTAACCAAGCATATTTTTTTTAAAGATTACCTTAGTAATTATTAATCTATATTGTTCAATAATTATCAGTTATATTTAATGAGAACTTCTTTCAAATTTGTAAACAGTGAAAGATTTGAACAAGAAACAAACAAAACAGTATCTAAACGAGAACAAACTTTTCATTAATCATTCGTTTACCATTATTCATATTATGAATATAATTTATTCATAAATAATTTATTTATTGGATTAATCATAGATCATACTTGAGAAAGCAAAGTTTTACATTTTTTATGTGAATCAATCATAATCAGCTATATTTTCTAAGTAAAACAAATGATAGGTCATAATAAGATTGTTGTAATCACTGATCTATGTGTTGTTATTTGTTATCTAGGCAAAAATGATATTCTCTAACTAATCCGAAGATATATGATTATACAAACAAAAGTTTCTTTTTTCCTGTGATTACAAGCAACGAAAAAGAAAATGAAGAAGAAAAATTGCTGAAGAAAAAGTAAGAGATTTCAATGGGAAAAAATTGTGTGATACAAAATATATATATGAAGATTATCAAGTTTTTTATGCAACTTACGAACCGATTGATGTTAGAACACCATGGAAAACCTGGAAGTAGTGGACGACTGCTTCATCCCATTATGGGACTACTCAGCAGTGTGCATCCACGATCCTGCTCACGGGACTCGAACCCCGGGTTTTCAATCTCGTGCGTGAATATTTAATCTCTAGACCACTGAGTCGGCATCTAACGGTGTTAATGTATAACCTCAACCAATCCACGAAATTGCGCCATAATCTTCCATTTTACAGAGTTAGATACCTGTCTCTATTCGACACGGATTAGCTCCACTGGTCATAGCTTCTCACTAGAACTCTTAGAATTCCTTCACGAAGCTAGTGACTAGTGATCACATGGTAAGGAGTCTCACAATAGAACGGAACGGCCTTGCAGTGCTTCCAGGTTCTCAATGGTGGTCTAACATCAATCGGCATATGATCTAAATAAAAAAATATATGTGAATTAAATTCACTTGGTGTTGTTTTGCTTGTATCTTCCCATTCTTATTTAGGACTGCAATTTATCAGTCTGATGTTGACATATGTGCACCCTGTGCAGATTGCCTCAATATAGCCTCAAGTCACAAGCTTTTTAGGCAAAGATGGATAGTGGCAAACAGTGGATAACGCGATTGCGTTTGGAGCGAACGGTACTGAGTTCGAGTCCTGCAGTGAACATCAACTCTACGACGCAGGTATAGTCCTAAATAGGACGAAATGCGCGTCAAACTGGATTCCACTGCTAGCCACTATCCATATATGTGAATTGTCTGGCAAATAGTTGAATTATCTTTTATGAAAAAGTTATTGGATTCGTATTCACTATTTAAGTGTTTCTTCAACAACCTCAACAAAATTGAAATAAGAAAGAGTACTTAAAGTGAATTGATAATCTGATGTTATAATTTGTATTATAATTGAGGTTGTTTGGATGAAATGAAATTATCTTTTTTTGAAAAAAAAAGAAGAGAGGAATGAATGGTTATTTTCACCCATGAACTTGACCTATCTGTCTGAAGTGTTCGTGTTTGAATATCATACACGTCATACACAATTATATATAAAAGTATAGTATATAAAATGAATTCCAGTAAATAAATATTTGAAATCATTACTTGATAAAATGGCCTACATTTCTATCAAATAAAGTTAAATAATAAATAATGATTTTAGACTAACATAAAGTGGTTCTCATCAACAGCATACAACCAGTAATATTTTAATACTAACATTGTAAACGAAATGTAACATAGCTGTAGTAACAAAGTTAGTTGAAGATTTATATATATATATATATCAGCATGGTATAACAACAAGTGAACTAAAATAAAAGATGAAAAATATGTCTTGGATACGTATGATAAACTAACGAAGGTTTTAGAGTATAATTAATATTTCGTTCAAATCACGAACCGATTAAAATTAGACCACCACTGAAAATCTAGAAGTACTTAATGGCCATTTCGTCCAAGTATGGGACTCCTTAATAGTGTGTACCCATAATTCTGCCACAAAAGATCGAAATCAGGACATTGGGTCTCGAGCGCTAGTGATTAACCTCTAGACCACTTAGCTGGGATCCAATAGTGTACATTTCTAATTTTGGCCAGTCAATAATATTGCACAACCATCTTCCATCGTCTTCGATAGCTACGTACCTTACACTCGACACGATCAAGTTCCATTGATCATGACTTTTCAGTAGAACTTCATGAATCTCGGTTAAAATTATTACTAAATGTATTAAATTTGAGCTTTACCACTTGCATTAATTACTGTGTAATTCATGATACATAAAAATAATGTGTTGGTTTGAAAGAAAACAGAACAAGATTGTTGCCATTCTGTCCTTTTTCTTTATTGTTCATTGGTTCCCAATGAACGTGTTATTAAAAAGGTAATTAAATGAATTGTAAGTTAAATTCTTTTCAAATGAGACAAAATTAAGCCACTATCTAATGAATTTAATACATATGTATATATTTACTTGACCATTCATTTTTGCATAAAATGGCACTGAAAGTGTATTGTGTAATGAGTAATCATACAAAATGAAGGACAGCATTAATGATTACAGCAATAAATTCTATTTGTGTAGAAGTTGTTAGTAATAACTCACCGATTAGTCTCAATATATAAACTAATAGCAATGAAAATGAGTAACCAGTTTGAATTAAACGGGCTAACAACTAATCTATTCATTGTGTTAATTTCAGTTGACTTTAATGAAAATCGACCGATAATTTCAAAGGTCAACTTCATAATACGAACAAATGACTCATGAACAGACAAAATAATCTAGGTCAAATTGCCCGTATCCTGACTCAACTCTAAATAAGTATGGTGATTAGAACTTTAAGGCCAAAGTTTATCAGTCATCGAAAAGCTTCTACATACAAATATTTTGTTCGTATAATTAAAAGTGAAATGAGATTTATTCCCGGGACAAATATAGTAACATAATGAGGTCAAATTAACATTTAGTTTCGAACTCCAACAATAAGGTTATAGTCTGATATTTCACACACTAATAAAATGTGTCAAGCCTTTGTAATGAACACAGTAGATTTATGTTAAGTGGCTGAGACAACGTTAGTTAACTTCCTTTCTTTTTCTCCAGCCATTTTGTCATGGTTGTCTCATAGTTTTAGTCGACATTCCTCTAAAACCACTTTTCAATATGGAAAATAATGTCAACCTGTGAGTAAAGTTATGTATGATTATCTATAAATACTCATGTATATATGAAAATATAATATTCGTCCTTGCAAATAAACGTTATGATAGACTTAGATATAATCTGACTGACGTGATTTGGGATGTGTGAAATAGAGACTATTAAATGTTTTGAATAGTTCTGAAGATTATTTTACTTCATAATTATGACATCAACTGAAGACTGATTGGAAACCATAGGATAACGCACATCCCTTTTATATGTTTCACAATGGCGATCGGCCAGCAGAAGCTATCTCAGATATTCAGGAAGTGAGTTAGTTAATAATCCCATAATTTTCTGACCTTACGTGTGATGCGATTCGAAACGCAAATGACGAGCAAGGTTTTTTGAAGAAAATATATTCTACTAATAAGTAGTTAAATACATATGACAAAGTATTTTGCTTATTAATTGACAACTGTACTTTGACCAGTTAATAAATGGAAAGACGTTAAAAACGCTAAAAGTTTAACTAAATTTAAATACGTATACCAATTTTTGGTGTCGTTTGAGCTCTTCAGGGTCTTTGTTCGGTTTCAATAATTTAAAACCAAAATACTTATGCTCCAAATACTGGTTTATTCGAAAAAACCTCAATGTGTTTGCGTCATTTATCGAATTATAAGTACTCGTGTAAATAGTTTCCCGAGTTTCACAATATGTTTGTTCAAAGTAAGTAAAATCCATACAAAATGACGCTACGAGACCCTTACATGAGTGCTATGTAAAAGTCGCACTTGACGTTTCTAGACGATTCGTACGACTCGAGAATACTCATTTGTAATGCCTAAAGTTGGCTTTCAATAAAAAAGAAGCCAATTATTATTATTCTACGTTTTTGATCAAGTCATCCTAAGTAGAAGTAAGAGTTTTGTGTAGTTTCACTTACAGGTTGTCATTTTCTTTATATGACACAGTAATTCTTTGGTTATTAATCATAAACAAATTAAGCGTTAAATAATGATATACTATAAAAGAGGCTATCCACTGGCTGAATGCTATTTGAGATTATATATGAATTTTATCCAAGGAAACTAAAATTTTCCATCTTATCCTGATGGGCTTGGCAGTATAGCATAACTCTCCTCAGTTGAATAACTTGGTATACCAATTGATTGTATAATTTAGTTATTTAAATAGTGACTCTTCAAATGAGAAACTAAAGTATGCACCATAAATCTTGAAAGACTAGTAGGCTTTTTATTACTGCTTTGTCCAGGTCTTTGTTCAAAGCCATCCGAATTTTACCTGATCTGTATCATTTTTTCATCGGTGAGACTATAACTTATGAAGGAAACAATCAGATATAAGATAAAAGGTCTTGGATTTTGGCGCGAAATCCATTCGTCCATTTGGCTAAACAGCGTTTTGGCATTTTAGCTTATGTCAGTTCGTGGTAAAAACCCTAAATCTAGTTCCTAACCGTAACCGCCAACTGTAAATCATAATTCCAATTCCTCGCACTGCTTTATAATCCTCATTTAGTCCCATTTAGTGCGTGGACATTCTCAGGGTCACTTTAGCATCGCTCAAAGATCGTCCATAGATTATAATCTCACCTTTCTGTCTACATAATGAGTAACTATATTGTACAGAGAAATGATAAATCATCATTTGTCATAAATACATTTATTTCTCCCTATAAAGTTAACTAGATTTCATTTTATTTCCAATTCTGTGTTAAAATGCTTTTCATTTCTTGGCCTTGATCACGATTGGCATATTCAATAGCTTCATATTGAACATGTCTTTGTGGAGGTGCTTCAACTCCAACAAGTGGAATATTTGACATTGAAGGACCACCGAGTAAACCAGAAATCATACCTGTACGGCTCAGATTAGCAGTTTCCTGGGCTTCTTGACTAACATGAGCAAATCCACATCCAACAGGACTGGGAGGTAGATGATCATGAGTGATTAATTCTTTCATGGCAGAACCTTTATTATTCAATGCAGCTTCATGTGCTTCTGATCCTCTTACAGCACGGATCTTCCAGTTATGTGATGAAATCGGAAAAGGATAAATAAAAATGTCATTAATCTTTTCGACGAACAGCTAATTACCATTATTTCACTAAAAGAAATTATAAAATTAACATGTTATCTCTCGCTAACGATGACTTTTAACCACAAAAATGTGAGATTATACACATATGAACTTATATCTACATATCTACAAAACCCATTTGAGAATTAAAGTTTCAAGACTAGAGACCACAACAAATGAATATCTGTATATAGTTTCTGGTTTTCAATAATTTTCTAGCTAAATTTAGTCATTAGTGTAAAAGAGAATAAAATTTAAATCAAATCTTGATTGTATATAAGATTATCTTCTATAACGGCTTCAGTGACTAAATAAACTAGCTTTTTTCTAAAATCAAACGACTAAAAGAATAGTTAATTTACTATCTATCATATGGGAATACATGAAGTAACAAAAAAAACTAATGACTGATGGAGTTATTATGAATGACATAGTGCTCATACAGGACTGAACTTGTATTCTTCATGTCTTACGACCACGGCGTCGTACAGTTGGTTGACTTCCAGGTTAGAAGAAAATAACTGTCCAGAACTTCTAGATTTTAGATAACCTCTTCATTTATATAACTGTGGTGATAAATGTCTTTGATCTGATCAAATTTCATAAACTATTTAATTATATATTTTTATAATCGCTGTTCTCGGATCTCTAAGTGCGATTGGAAAAAAGCCCTGTCAAACTGGACAGCTTAGTTGTGCAAGGTTATGAAGTGACGTTAAGCAACAAAGAAATATCAGCTTCTATCAGGTTAGTGAAAAGGGTTCCAGAACCAAGGATACATCTCCTATTAGCTTACCTGAAACTTTCTTCCATAACATTTTGTTACTGAACTTGCTTTACTACCTAAGTAGTCAGACATTTGACCTTGGTTTCTTTTCATAGCTTCAAGAGCTTCTTCAGTTCTTAGACGGTAACCTGAAAAGACAGTATTACTGTCGTCTTTATTATTATTGCACATATTCAGGCAATCAATAACTTGAGAACCAGAACCAGATTTCTCTAAAATGATTTCACCATCTGGTCGAACACGATGATGCACAATGTTTGAAGGGTCTAATTTCAATAAAATGAAGACGTAAACAATGACAGTTTAAATATACATTCATTAAGTTATTAGGTCTAGTTAGACAGTGAGTTAATAATCGGGGTTTGAAGGCAATTATTAGTAATTAAAATGATTTATTTCCACATGTGTCTAAACTTACTTGTCACATGGCATTAGTATATTTGGTCATCCTGACTTATTATATAGTGGCTTTTAGAATACTTTAAGTCCTACTATCCTAATTTAGTTCATTCAGTGGTTTATTAAGTTGAAGATGACAGATTTATTTAAGATATATTGTCATTATTATGATCATGAAGATAGAAAACAATGGAAGTAGTAATAATGACGATAACAGTGGTAGACTATTGGATGGCTATATGTTGTTTAAAATAATGATTAATATGCTCAACATCCAACGAATACAACAATACGGAACGAACCCAAGCAAACGTTATTTTTTAGAGGGATAAGACATTTAAAACTATCTTATTTCCAGATATTTAAGATCCCCATTGCCTCAGAGCTAGATATACAAGCTAAGAGTAATTATTTTTAGTCAATCCATCTCAGACTTTATTTTAAATATATTGTTGCATTTATATACACATATGTAAAATATCAAACCAATGAAAGATGTATATGACTCAGTGGTAGAAGTGGTAGTAATGATGGTGTTGATAGTAGTAAAAACATCTGGAAGAAACTTTGTTCTCACCGACAATCTTTCAGTCAAAATAACCTGTTTGAATACAACAAATTACCTTCTTCAGCTTCTAAAGACATAGAATTACTTATGTGTCCATTGCGACCAAGTAGTCTCCACTGCTCAGCATCAGATCCTCGGACAGTTGCAGAATGTGGTCGAGTTAACAAAGACGAGTGGTTATCAATATCCATCTGTTGTAAATTTCTGCCTAAACACAACGCCATTTCAGTTCCTGTTTTAGACCATTGAGCATTGTTTTGTGCCTCCCTAGTTGGGCATCCATAGGGAAATGAGCTATAAAGTTCGTTAGGTGACATTTTCATGCTAAGCAAATCGTCTAAACCCTGTTGTAATGAAAAATTAATAAGTTGGATAAGGAAATTAACATTAGAAATTATAACTAATTGTCATGCATTGTTATTTCTACCCTTATTTATTTATTTTTAATGAATTATTTATCTAACAAATTGTATTCACCTGTTTGTAATCTTTACTCGTAATCATCTAAACTTTATATTGGTACGTAATAACATAAGGCCACTTCATCTGCAGATCTAAACAAGCAAATCAAACGACGTCATAGTTCAGTTTTCATTCATAGTATATAATATTGGTCAAGTTTAACAGGGGTTTTTGACCTTAAAAAGTAACATCAGGGTGCACTATTTCCAAAACTGAATATTTAAAAAGTGTTAAGTAATCAAAAATTATTGATCTAATCTGTAACTACAAAACAATGTTACCAACTATATGCAACTTGAGGATTTTAACATCAACATAAAATGATACTTTGTAATTTTCAATCTTTATCAGTTAGTTGGACTCCTATTTGTAGTGATAGACAAAATTACACATCGGTAGACTGTCCAATTAATGATGTAACGTAAATTGATATTTTAGACAGATAAACATTGACATAACAACTGCATAATACATAGAAATACCGTCATAATAATCTCTTAAGAGAAATGACAGATCAGATGAACGTTGGAGGTAGTCAACAAGAATCCCTGGATTTAGGTCTCGTGCTACTTGGCACTGGTCAACAAGGTGTATCTGTGATCTTGAGGGAACTGATACTACCTAAAGGATTCGACCTCTTGTCACGTTCAGAGACGTTACCACTGAGTAATCCGGGCCGCGACTGACCTCCTGTAGGACTGAGATGTATTTGCAATTGATTGATCACTGCATAGTGATTAATGTAATGTATGTCAGGTGCTTTTTAGTGCAGATCGAATCCTATCGACTGGTGGCCACATTGCAACTTGGCAGATAGGATTCGATCTGCACTAAGAAGCACCTGACATACATGACATTGATCACCACTCAGTGATCAGTCAACTGAAATTGTAGATCGTCTAAACGTTTCCTACTATAATTTAGTGATTATGTGAAAACTCGTAAAATATAATGTGGAAGTGATAATGTAACAAACTAGGTTGTTAAACTTTATTACTATAATTAAAACTAGACTAAATGAGTCAACTGTCAATAGTCATGTAACTAAACCGAGTGCATCTTTAATGGTTATATTTTTCCAGTCTAATTATTTCAATATAAAAAAATGAAATCTTAAAACATTCAAATTGTGGTTTATTGTTATGTTTAAGTTAAAAAAACGAAACCCAAAAACAAGCTACATCTATCAACTTTTGGTTTAGTCCAGTTGAGAGTTTATTATAATCATCTATGTATTTAATTAAAATGCACTTTTCAAATCTTCATTGTGGATAACGCGATGGCGTTTGAAGCGAATTGTACTGAGTTCGAGTCCCAGAGTGAACAACTCTGCGACGCAGGTACATTCACCTGACGAGTCTTAAATAGGACGGAAGGGGCGTCAAACTGGGTTCCACTGCTAACCACTATCCATCTTTGCATATAGTGCTTGTGAATTAAGGCTTTATCAAGGCAATACACACAGTATGTACATATGCCAATAATAGACTGATCAATTGCAGTCCTAAACAGCAATAAGAAGATTCAGACAAACAATATCAAGTGAATTTATTGTATTTACTTTCAGAAATAATCAAACATTATTAATCAACCATAGAACAATATTTCTAATCTAGGTTGAAACTATTCATAAGTACTAACTTCAAAGTAATCAGATCATATAGTGATCATATTATCCTTAGACAGTTGATATCAATTAGTAAGGCTAATTCATTTCAAAAGATCTAAGAATTTTCGTAAAATCAGTCTAAACTATATGTTTTGAATATCACTCACTAAAGTCATTCATGTCTTAGTTACTGAATCAAACGATACTATTGGTAAGTTTCATTGAAATACCATTTAAATATGTATATTTTTGCTCTTATTTACTTCTTTTACTATGCTATTTAGTGTATCTGGAATAACTACAAACTCCTTATTCAACAATCGATTTCAGATGCAGAAAAAAGAAGTATATCAGTATATTGGTACCATTTCATAGATTGACCCAATTTACTATTCATAAATAAACTGCACCACACAGATGTCACCGAACCATTTGTGATAAATGAATCACTCATCTTGCATTCGTTTTAAACGGATTTATATGTATCGAAATACCTATGTAGTAAATAAATCAAAGTTTCTTTTTCATGTTATTCCTTTATTTAAAAATAATCCAAACCGTTAATTGACACACACACACACACACATTGCAACATTATGCTGAACTGATCGTCGTAGATAATTAAGTCCTGATTTAGACCTGTACTGTATCCATTTATCATGAAATAATGACTTGAAAAAGTGCATGACATACATCTACTTCATTCTAACCTTAATAATTATTATTTATTCAAGCTTATAAAACCATTTAAAGAATCAATATACTTTGTTCATTCAATGACAATACTCAACTAAATCATCTTACAAATGTTCAAATAAAATAATATAAAATTTCAAAAGAGATAATATGATGTATATTTTGTTATAGACAACTAATAACTTTACTGGACTAAATGTAACAACCTTATAGATGGAAGTAGAATAGACCCGATAAGATGAATTTTATTTACGGAGGGATAAAATATCATCAGTTGATGCGAAATAATAAATTTACTGTTTTACAATACGTAGTTACATAATCTCTGTACTAAGACATCAATCCACTTACACGATCTCTTATTGCATATTCTACACCTTCATACTTTACTCTTGAACGAACTGGATGGTTAGAAGTAGAGTGACTTGAAGGTTCTTTCGTTTGTGAATGTGTAAACCAATTGTTCATTTCATTACGCCGGCTGTAACTGGATGATATTTTTTTAGCAGAAGTTATTTCACCGTTTGATTGACTAAATGGTTTATGTTTAAACCAATCACATTCTTGTGTCATATTCTTTAAAATAGCCTAGTGAATAAAAAAAATTCACAACCTCTATAAGGTATATCATTTATCCAGTGTCTAGATTATTTTAATAACTTATCAAAAACATAAGAATAATCAACTAAATATTAAGGAAAATGATCTAAAATCCCATAATAAACGATCGCCTATTGAGTAAACTAAGAACTGACATAGAGATATAGGTTACTTTTGGGAGAATACTGAAATAAAATGGAACAATTATCAAATCCTTATCTTTCCTTAAAACAACTTCTCATTGGTTTCGATTCCGAGGTCATTCGATTTTTTATAATTGGATGAATCATTGATAATGTTATGTTTCAGAAGTTATCATTTGAGGGATTCAGTGTGCATATTTTTAACGTAAATTTACTGAGCAACAGGTTTGTGGTATTTTCATAGTGCCTTACATATATGCTTTTATTTGACTTTTCGACTGCTGTTTTTTCTTTCACTGCTCATGAATTGCAGAAAACTAATCCCAGATGTCTACACCATGTATGTACTGAAATTTGTTATTTGTGGTAGGTTCTAGTCTTGTGCTTCATACGTACAATCACCTAAATTTTCGATTCTGAAAAACATAGAAAAAAACAGATACTTAACTGGTTCTTATGGTGCTTCGGTTGGTAGTTTGGAACGGAAGAATTTTATATGGATTTTACGGAATTATCGTTAGTGATGTAGGCGAAAGCATATCACAATTGATTATTAATAACTGAGTGAAAATTACATACTTTTTGGTGCCCATTATCTCGAACTGAAGTCAACCTGAAAACCAGTGAAAGCTGGATTGCGGTATATTGGTTTTTACTTTTAAAATCGGGGCTTATCATGAGTCCATGCAGAGTTGAATTCAAAGTATTCAGGTCCTTCAGAGAATATGAATACATTCAACCACTAATTAGGTACAGAATAAATAATAAAAAAACTCAAGCTTCAATGAACTTCTAATATACGGCAATCCTCATACAGATTATAGTCTATGGGAATGATTTGTTAAATTATTTTTACCGTACCAACCATTATCCATTCCTATGCAACTAATCCTCATAAATTCAAAAAACTTAAAGCTTATCACACTTCAAACTTTATCCCAGATCTTCTAGAAGTATTTGAATTCCTTACTCGAAAACAGAAGAATTGACCATTTTCTTTCTCAATTATAGTAAATCTAGTTAATAAGCTACGATTATCATTATTTGAACACATAGATATTGGTACAAGGAGGCACCAAATACGTATGCGCCAAACAAATCTCATTTGATTTATGTGAGGGCTATGATACTGCACGGGTACCCAAACCGAAGCAGGTGGTATTCTTAGGGAGCCACACCCGGAGCCTTCGACCTACAGTTCGGATCCATGAGGCAGTGGAGCATCGTAAGGAGATGCAGTCCCAGGGTAGCTGGTGACCAACGACTGGTTCATACGCCATTTGTTCACTCAGGATACTGGAGCCCATGTGCACCACTGGCTTGGAATCAGGGTTTTCAAACTCCCCTGGGTGAACTCTCCGTTTTCACCAACCCGGTTAAATCGCTGAAGTTTCTCTTTTCGTCCTCTCAATTTCGTAAACAACACCCCCGCCAGCAAAAGGCAGTGAGTAGGACTTCCCTGACAGAGGCTATATACGCGTGGCCGTTTGAGAACATTTCGAGAGGGAGAGCGGACTCTCCCCACTCTCGGCCGTACCAGGACTAATCAATAATGAAGTGCATTCTTCAATCCCCCTTATTTGTATTTAAGTTTTTTAGTGAATCTGTAAAAACATATTAGTTTTTATTGTTGTTCATACTTGACTCATCTCTTGCTACCTATTTCATGCCAAGTTTATGATCAAATGATATTTCCTAGGAGCTAACGTTAATCCACATAGACGTTTGCTGTGGAATTAAACAAATTATGCTATGAGAATTGTTGGATGAAATGAATTATTTTATGGTTGTACATTTGTCTTCCTAATAATATAATGTGAACCGAACTAAGATTTATAAAATTCTTTATTAAATCAAGACACTAGTATATGTTCTTCCGTATAAGTTCTAATGCTCAAATTATGGTTAGGTTTGACTTGACTTCTAAAATCACTGAAGTACGAATAGAAAAGTTTCTAAAGTTAAGTGTTAATCAACAAAATAGTATGTAAATTTCAAAATCAATCCTATTACATTTACTAAAACTAGAGAAACTTACGACGTTAACATGACAGTTTTATTTAGGTGAGAGGTTTCTGATGAATAGTTGAAACTACTTTTCTTTACAGACTGATATCAACTGAGAAACCATAAAACGCAGTACTTAATAAACATTATTTTTATGCCACTTTAAGACTCCTTAACAAAAAGCACCTATGGTTCAGTCAGGGATTGGATGAAGCCCATTCAGACCATGACGTTATCCAATGGAGTTGACAGGTAACGTACCTTTATTCCGAGACGTTTGAAACTCACTAGTCACTAATTATCACTGGGAATTCGGAAGCTTATCTTGAAGTTTATCGCTATTGAGCCTATAATGGTTTTGATCTAAGTTTTTTACCATGTTTAGTTATGGCTAATATTTTCCTTCCGTATACTTTATTCATAATCACTGTTCATTTATCATTCAATTACTTTCAAGATTGCATACTTACATTAATGATTTACTGTAAATTAACTTACTTTGGCAAGTTCTCCAGTTCCTATTCTGGGTGGTCTTACCACAGGTTGATAGTGTAAATTCTCAGCAAAATCGCACCATTTATCACTTTCTGATTTTGACTTTTGTGCGATACCATATGCTTCTGGTGTTCTTAAACGTAATTGTGGTTTCTGTTCTATGTTTGTTTCATCAGTTGAGAAATTGGTTCCAGCATTTGAAAAATCATTCACGAATCCACTAATTTCCGCTGTTGTCAGGTGCTTTTTATTACGATCAGCTATTCCAATGGCATCAAGCCGTACACGTGGTTTCGGCGGTGTTTCACAATGATCAGCTGTATGAGCAAACCATAATCCTGGTGTCCCATGATTTTTAATTAAATTGTCATGAGCTGCAGTAAAAGTATCGGTCATCAACATTATTGTAATGTCAAGTGATTTTGTTTAAATAAATGAAGGTAAATATTTGTTATCATTGTTTTTCCATGGAAAAAAGATGATATCATAACTAAGCAACAGTTTATTGTTTACATATTGATTTATTCTAGCCAATCATGATCTAAATATTTGTTGATAATGGTAATGCAAGTTTTTATAAACCAATTGTTGTATATATTGGTCAGAAAGTAGTTTGTTTTCATTTATGGATGAGATTAGTGACAAATGTAAACTAATTAATACATCATATAGGTTTCAACAGAAAAATTTCAGTAAAGCCTATGAGTTAACTCAATAAATCAATCAGATCACCATAATTTTATTCTAATAATGGGAATCAACAAACGTCAGTTTATATACGTTTTAAATTAATTTAAGATCTTAAATATCACTGTATTGGTAATTCACACTAATTGCTAATCAAGAGTTTTCAAGTGATCAGTTGGGTGAAATAAATAACTCATTATCTTTCCCATCATAATAAAAGGTGATTTTGTGTGTCTGTTTAGCTTATACCGAATTTAATACATAAGTGAATTGTATAGATGTTCAAGCCAATGATCGAAAAAATACAACATTCTTTTAAACCTATACATTTTATTCTTTTGAATGGATTCTAATGATTTTGACTATACTTAGCTTTAGTATGAGTAAAGTTATAAGCCTAAACTATACTGACAACATTGAGCGATTTATCAAACTATTAGAAAATAGTGTTTGATCATAAAAAAAATAACTAAATAACAGTGGATAAGTAGTTTTGACATGACTGATGAATCATTACATGTTCCATAATTAATAATAAACGGAAAAGGCTAGGGATTTGGTATTGAGGGTTTAACTAGGGTTATCAGTAATGATCAGGAGTGTTCGGATTATGATTTAGGGTACAAAGAGTTATTGCTAAGAATGCTTATATGACTTTTTGTCTGCACAGATATCCTTGAATATGCAATGAATCACATCTAGTACATCTAGTACATTTCTCATCTCTGGCAGGTCTTTCTTGTTACTTGGCTTACACACTATGTAAATTTGATATGTGGTTTGACATATATTTTTACTACTTTTAACTATATTAATATATCTCCTTTTTCTTAATACGATGAACGCTGTCATCTATTTCGTGGAAAAATCAAGGAGGTGCTATCTCAAAACTTATTGATTCATTCAGATTAGTTAGTATAGTTTAGTTCCATCACCTACCATAGAATTTTATTTTAAATAATAAACTTCCTTAATTCTACACCACAAACAGCCAATCATAAGGAAAGTGTCAAAATACTAAATGTACTCGGATATATTGATTTATTGGAAGGACACTTCCCTAATAAAGATATTTTGTTGTTTGAAATGAACCGTTTAATTGTGAATATTTTATTGTTCCACCAGGCAACTTGACTGCTTTAAAGATTAGAATTATAAAGTTTGGTGGATAAGTTATTCTCTGAAAACAAAAACAAATTCATAGTAAGTTGCAGAAAATATTTGGTATCAGAAGGGGTTTGTGGATATTATAGTCATTTTAATAGTTGAGATCATGAGTCAATTGAAGCTAGACAACCATGGATACCTGAAATCACTGGACGGCCGTTTCATCCTAGTGTGGGACTCCTCAAAAGTGAGCATCCACGATCACGCTCCGCGAGATTCTAATCCAGGACCTATCGGTCCCGCGCGTGAACGCTTAACCTCTAGACCACTAAGCCGGCATCCAACGGTGTTAATATCTAACTTCAACCAATACACGAAAGTGAGAGACACATCCAAATAATTTTTTGTTAAAGCAAATGTCTAGAGCGTTCCCAATGTATTTAAATAATTATGAATTCATCCAATCATTAAATCTTCTATCTTTATCACATACTAATAATAATAAATGCTACTCATATGCGTGAAACATAAGGTAGTTATTGTGACCATTATGATGAATAACTCGGCACAGACCAACTTAGCAAGTCTTGAGTGAAATCTAAAAAACAACCAATTCAAAATAACGACTGAAACCTAGAATCATATAAATAATTTTAGACTGGCTCTTTTGTGACAGATGGTTCATATTTAGCATTACATCAAATGAATCTTATGTTTGTTAGGACCGAGTAATCATATATCTTATTAAGAAAAGTTACATTTTTGGTGATAACACTTTGGTCATCTGTAGTGTTTATATGAAATAATGGTTGTTTTGTTCTTGATTCCTGATTGATTTGAATGCTAAATACAATAAATTTGTTTGTGCTCACATAGTTCTATTTATCTTAAATTGCATTGCTTTCGAAATTCCTGGGTGATACAATAATTCGAATACTTCTAATGAACATATCATATGATACTGTAAATTTTGTTTGTGGAGTAATTCACTGATTAAATAATGCCTAATACTACCCAGTTGAAGTTATTTAAATCTGATTTTTAATAAATATAAAGAAAAAACTTGAAAGTCAATCGTCAACGTTTATCCCTCATTGATATTTCTGGTAACTGTAAAATTCATTCTCATTTGTATACTGACTAACCAATAAAGATTCTAGCAGAATAGTATGAATTCATTTTATTTCGTAGGTTCTCGTCAGCTGCTTACGACCTGTGATATTTAAAAATCATAATTGCATAATGGATTTAAATTGCTTACAGAATATTGTAAATATATACCTAATGTGAAAGAACATTCTACAACATTAATTGTGACAACAGTTCAAAAGTGGGTTAGAAACAGTCGATTACATAATGAATAAACATTGATAGGAATATAGTGATTAGAGTTCAGTTGAAAGATTATTAATTTGAAAGATAGTTGAAAAAATAAATTAGAACCAATGATGTAATAAATGCAACAGAAAAAAGAGGAAAAAAAAGAAAAAAAATTTTAAGGTTCAGTGAAGAAATATTTGTCACCAGGGTAAGGAAAGATTAACCACCGTCTCCTTTTGAATACATAGGTCAGGTTTTTGTCGCCTGATGGCAATGGCTTCAGCAAACTTCAGAAGACTGGAGTTTGGCTGCTTACTAATCACCCTAAAGGATTGTAAGGTATCTACCTGATGTCCTGTATCAAGGAGATGTTTGGTGATCGCACTGTTCAGAGTCTTTCTTTCCCTTGTTTTCGACATTGGATGCTCATCATATTAGTTTTAATGGACTCACCTAGCTGAAGGCGCTCATTCATGCATACGCACCAGATCACGAGTGAGAACGCCGTGCTCAAAATCTACTGCAATCGCTAGCCAGATTAGATCAGACGATCCTTGATGTATTGAAAGCCTACCAAATATATCTTCGAACCTCCTCGCTTCTGTCTCTTGATTTCACTTGGTGGGTACGATTCATATTAGGTGTTACTGGTTAAAGCGTTTTCAAGCTCCAAACATCTGTGGCATCTTCAGTATCAGTTATTTTGCATGTCCTCACGTAGGTATCCGGAGTCTGTTATTCTCGCATAAATTATATCCAGGTTGTTGCCTGTACGTATTGACAAGCAGCACATATTTTCTATTTGGTCAATAGATAGATTGAGTTGTATGAACGTAATAAAACGACTCCGCGCTACAACCTCTTAAATGATAGTAGTCTTCTTCAGTCTTCAGTAATAAGGATAGGAGGTCTATCGACCTATAATAATCCTTGCAGTTTGTAATACTGTGGTGGTCCAATCTCGTTTTGAATATATTAACAGACGGTGCTGATATTACGTGTTCCGGTAGAGGATTCCAGTAATTCACTACTCTATGCGAGAAACGGAACTCCAGACGTAAACTATTTGATCTCGGTTTTTGAACTTTCTTCGAATGTCTTCTCAAATGATCGGTTCTAGACGGAAGCAAAAGATAAGACGTGTTAATACCAAGATCATCGTTCAGTATACGATAAGGCAATATTACGTCACCCCGTATTCTACGGTAAGATAACGGAAATAAGTTAAGGTGTCTCAGTCTGTCTTCATAAGATAGGCCAGATAGACCTTGTACCATCTTAGCAACTCGTCGTTGGACTCTTTCTAGCATATCTGCTTCATACTTGAAACAAGGACACGCTGCTTGAATCCCGTATTTTAAATGTGGTCGCACGTAAATCGGGTATAATAATCTAAACATTTCATCATCTAAATACTGGAAAGACCTACGAATTGACCATAATACCCTATAGCCTTTTACAGCAGCAGCCTTAGAGTGACTAGTGGTTTTGAGATCATTGCTTAATATGACTCCTAAATCTCTATAGTTTCTTGCTTTTGGTAGCACGAATTCACGTAGTATATAGTCATACGATTCATCAGTTATTTAACTGCATCACTACACTCTTGTTAGGATTTACTTCTAGTGACCACCTGTCTAACCATGCCACCAATGAGCTAAGATCGTCATGTAATACTATTCTATCCGACATACTATGTATGGGTCTCCAAATCTTTATGTCATCAACGAAGAGTAGAACGGATGATTTTGCTACAGTTGGTTATTCATTTACATAAAGTAAAAAGAGAAGAGGACCTAGGATTGTACCTTGGGGAACCCCACTTTTTACAGGTACCCACGAGGAGAGAGCCCCATTAACCCTTACCTTTGTCTCCTGTCATGGAGAAAGTTACTTATCCAATCGACGACTGTATAAGGGATTTCAAAACGTTCCAGTTTGAATTTAAGAAATGAGTGGGAAACCTTATCAAAGGCTTTACTTAGATCTATGAAGATCACATCGACAGGAACATTCCAATCTTTTGCCGCAGCCCACTCTTCTTGTGCAATGAGAAGATTTGTCAAGCAAGATAGGCCTTTCCGAAAACCATGTTGTGTCCTGGAGAAAAGATTTATAACAGCTATCCGAATGGTTTACTCCGTCAGTTTTACAACTGCACAAGTTAATCTAACGGGGCTATAGTTACTAACTAAATCCCTACTCCCAGCCTTATACACCGGACTTATTATAGCGTCTTTCCAGTCTCTAGGAAGTCTGGACTGTCTCAGAGACATGTCAAACAGTATCGCTAATGGTGGTTGGAGGTAGTCAACAGGAAACCCTGTACCCGGGTTTCGTGCTATTTGGCACTCGTCAGCAAGGTGTACCTGTAATCTTGAGGGCCGAGTCACCTAGACTGGTGGCCACATTGCAACACGATCGATAGCATTCGATCTGCACTAATAAGGACTAGACAAGCATGATATTGATCACCACCCAGTGATCAATCAATTGTGAGTATCGCTAATGCTTCAGCAATTTCATCTGATATGGCTTTCATAATCCTAGGATGAATATCATCAGGACCACTGGACTTATCAGGTTTGAGATGCTGAAGTAGCCTTAGGACAGTATCTTTCTCAATGACTGCAGGATACATCAGAGCCGTCATGGTCGCGATGAGTCGTTGGTTGTTCCTCATTACCGATAGAGAACACTTTACTAAAATATTCCGATAAAGCTTCAGCTTTTTCGGAATCATTCTCTGCTAAGATTAACGGATTATCTCGTACCAAAAGTGATAGAACACCATCGCTTCTCTTAGTTCGCCTTTTTATATACGAGAATAACCGTTTAGGACTATATCTAGAATCCCTAACCAATTGTTTTTCTTATGATAGTCTAGTCCTGCTTATTAACGCTTTACAGGCATTCCTAATCTTACAATAACTGGATCTGTATTGTTCTAAGCCAGTAGAGATGAACATATTCCAGTGATTCGTCCTTTTTCTAAGGAGTTTCCTGACCGTTTTAGTTATCCATGGTGGGCGGTTATTCGGTCTTCGCGGTACCAAGTATGGTATGAACGGGGACGTAACTAGTCTAAATTTACCTTTAAATACAGACCATGCTTCTTCGACTGATATGCTAGTATCTACTAACCAATCTGTCTTAGCAGCGCATTCCTGAATGGCTGATATGTTAGCTTTTCATACACTTGGGCGAAGTGTAACCTGATCGTATAACATGTCCCTAGTTCTAAACGCGAAGAATATTTAAGTCGACAATATCCTCAGTCTCATGAGTGATTACCAAGTCCAGCAGAGAAGAACCCTGGTTAACACCAAAACGTGTGGGTTGGGATACATGCTGCACTAGTGCATGCTCCATTATTGTTATCAGTAACCTACTATCAAAAGAGTTTATAGATCCTTCTGTGGTCATCTCAGTCCAACTAATATCAGGTGCATTAAAGTCTCCTATTATCAAGCACCTGGTATTCTCAATCCAAAGATGAATGTGCTCTGAAATAAAGTCATCAGCTAAGCAGCTTGGGCTGCGATAGATGACACCTAGCATAAATGTACTACATCCTATAGCTAACTTACAGCTAATGACTTCACAAGCACCGCTAACACAGTAGTCAAACGTTTTCAGGTTTTTGTGTTAAAAGTGAAAAAATATAACCTTTAATACATAATAGAGTTTGGAAATACGGTGGCAGAACAGGAAAAGTTATCACTTTTCTAAACTTCAAAAATGTGATATTGGCATACGAACATGATTTTCAGTAATTGCGTTACGTTAGCTTTCGGTGACCTTGGCGCATTATTGTAAGTAACCTTGTTAACTTTCCAACCTTTTCTACCCGAAGTCTGTGAGACATTTCCGCAGTTTCTAATGTGACATAACTAATTTGATTGTCATGCTCAATATCAAAACCTACTTCTTAGAATATTACATTTCTTCGGAGATCTGTGGTTAGATGGATAGTTTCGTGTTTAATTGTCGGAAGACAGCTTCCAATTTACGTTAATGATAAGTAAAAATGTTATACAGTTTGAACTGCATTTAAAGTTAACGTATAAAGCAATTGGTTTGTGGAATGTGGTGGTAAGCACTCAATAACTGCCATCATTCTTTCAAGCTGCAGCTTAAAACTCGCAAGGGTACAAGCCAGTGTCAAATCCTTATTTGGTTTTCACTTTTTGAAAATACATGTGCATCATATACCACCAATATATTGTGCTTTGAATTGTTATATTGACATAAATCTCATCACAACACTGAGTTTGGTAACATTTCAAAACAGGATTTCCATTTCTCTGTTAAAAATCAGTCGACTTTAGCGTAAAGCCAAGTTTTGCGTAGCCTCATGCTTTTTCACGTGCGCAATTCCCCACAGTAGTGAAAGCGCGATCGCAACAAGTACGTCACACTTAGTATGTTTATTAGTGATGTCTCGGAACCTTATGAAACTTTAAGAAAGGCTATTCTTAGGCGTGGAGATCAAACTGGCCGACAAGAGTTAGACCAACTATTCAACAACGCCGATCTACAAAGTGACTCAGCAACAGACATGTTACTACGAATGCGAAAGGTCATTGGTCAAGGGATCTTTGACGAGGGTCTGTTTAAACGGTTTTTATGTCTGTTTCCCCAGCAAGTGCAGGTAGTGCTTGTCTTATTCCGGAACGACACTGTGAACAAACTGGCTGCATTTGTTGACCGGATTGCAGAAATCACCAGAACCCTTAACGCCGAGGTTCATTCTGTAAAATAAAAGCCTCAAACAACGTTACAGATGTCACATTCTGACTCGTTATCCTAATATCCATCATAACCGTTGACGCTCCCAAACTAAAAAGAGTTTGTCACGAAAAAGATCTGCCTGTAGATCATGAAAAGCAAATAATACTGATTGGTGCTTGTACTACAATAAGTATGGTAAATCCTCTAGAAATTTCAGAAAACTAGTGTCTCAGGCTCCTAGCCAACCAACAACATTTCGGGAAGTTTCCACAGAAACACGCCTCAACGGCAACCCTAGCCAGGGAACGTAGCCACCTATTGTACATCACTGATGTGACGATGAAAGTTCTCTACCTCGTCGACACTTGCGCAGAAGTTAGCTTTCTTCCAACCAGGTTAAACGACAGACTGCACGAAGCAGTTTTCCACTTACACAAGGCAAATGGGAAACCTATCGCCACATACGGTAAGTAGAATCAGGTACTTAAACTTACTGTTGAAACACTGTGTATATCATACCATGTTACAAATCTCGAGATATGATTGACATAAACAATTATTGGGCCATAAGTATTATTCCAATTATCTCTAGGATTATAGGAAAAACTGTTAGTGACGAACTCTTCAACTATTTACTCGCTAAAGATTTATCAATGACTCTCAGCATGGATTTATTAGAAATCGATCTTGTATAACATGCCACTTTGACTTCTTTAATTTAGTTTTTTCTCAACGTAACCAAGGATATCCAGTCTTAGTGCTATGCTTTGACGTTTCTAAGGCCTTCGATATGGTTAGCCACCAACTTCTTGTAGATAAACTCGTATCTTACAGGGTCCCAAACCCTCTATTTACTTGGTTTGATTCCTTACTCAGTAGATGCGTGACCGAGCGACTTAAGCTAGACGTGTCCACTGAAGTTAATCAGGTCAGCATCAAATGCCGAAAACTTACAAAACTATTCATTTTGGCGATTTATCTGCCACTGCATATCTATTTTTTTAATGCTCAACCACCACCTACCATAACACACGTATAGTGAAAGCCAGATCGGCTTATGCCAATCTGGGCCATCTTTGACGCCTTCGTGATGTTAGTCTGGTTGTAAAAGGTCGGATCTACAAAGCGTCGGTGAGATCAGTTTTGCCCTGTGCTTGTGAAACCTGGCCTCTCCGAGTTGAGGACGTTAGACGACTCTCTGTGTTCGATCATCGTTGTCTCCGAAGGATTGCTGACATCCAGTGGCAACACCATGTTAGTAATGCAGAGGTTCGGCATCGTGTGTTCGGGCACAGAGATGATAATGCAATCGATGTCACCATCTTGAAACACCGACTTCGGTGGCTTGGACATGTTCTATGAATGTCGTCCCAGAGAATTCCACGTCGTGCATTATTTGCCGACTCTGGGACTGGTTAGAAGAAGCGGAGAGGTGGTCAGTGCATGACATGGTGTCGTGGCATGAAAGCTGCAAAGGACTGGCTTGTGTTGGTCCTTCACGACTCCCTGGTTGGGGTCCGAGAGATGGTGCAACACAGTGGCTAGAGACGATATCAGATATGGCTCAGAATAGAAGCTAGTGGCGATCCTGCTGTAACCTTCTTTTACTTTCTTCATAACGGGTGTTAGAGATGGTTGGAAGAGAATTAGGGGCGGCCAAACCAAAACGTGGCATCAGTACTTGAAGACACTAACCTCTAGTCTGAGCCATGTTGGTAGATGCAGACTACTTGGTTGGGGTCCGCGTGACTTTCGTAAACAATGGTTGAAGACTCTTGGTGACATGGCTCTGAATCGATCACAATGGCGTAGGTGTATACACTTCCTGTCTTCCCTTAAACTAAGAGATTAAAATCACTTCATATCTTTCTTTCTACTAACTAATTCTTTCTTCCTGTACTGTATCCTTATATGCAATCTTTCTCCTATATATTACCACCTTTGACCTAACCACTCCCATGAATCCGGTGTTCATCTTGCTGTGCTAATGAGGTATGGCAACCTGGACCGATGCATATATGTGCCTGGTCCTACGTTGTAGCTGACTGACTTTCTTCATAAAAAAAGTGGTTGTGTCTCCCTTAACTGAAAGATTTCTTCTGATTGTACCTTTCCGTTTCCCCATTTTTATTTATTATTATTACACCACCTTACATCAATCTCTTCGTTATTATTCTTTTTTTCCTTCCCCTTAAATTCTCATTGTTTTGTGTTGTGCATATATATTTGGCGCATTCTTGTACCAATATTTACGTGTTCAAATAAATAAATAGACTCAATGTTGTCTAGAGCAACAATATGTCGGAAGAGAGGGAAAGGTGGGCAAACGAAAACAGTCGGATTAATTCGTTAGTTTATTGTCTGTGTGTCTGCGCTCAGTTGGTAGATTTTGACTTCTTTGTCGGGGTCAGCTTCATCATTATTAGTGTCTAAATACTTTCAGTGTAGGCTAAAAATCGGTCGTAGTTCCATAGATACATTCATTTTTTCTCTAACCTTGAATTCTTAGCTTCAATGTCACTTTATACTTTTTGCTTCATGGATTTATTCGCATATCTTATTCTCTACGTCGCATCCTTTTTTACTATCACTGATTAGATTGATTCGACCACCTCCATATGTTAACGTGGTGTGGCAACTCGAATCAGTGAACATTTATGCTAGATTCCTATCTTGCCTAAAACTGGCTGAATCCTGGTAAAAGAGTATGTCCACGACTTAACGGAGACGGACGGCTCTGACAAATAACACTTAATGTCACCATAAGCTCTAAACTGGTTATTAGTATTCGAGTAAATGGCTTCTAGATTAGTCATGGTCGGTGGCATAAAATCTGTCGCACCAGAAGTAATCTTTGTTCTCAAAGAAGTTGTACTCAGGATAGGTAAATTAGGATTGATTTCTAACAAGCCTAAACAATGATTGATTAGTAATGCAAATAAATTTCAGGTCAATAGAAAATATATTCCTGTTGTTTGTAAGAGCTCACACTAGATAACCTATAACCCGGTTAAATGATTTGATATTTTGTGGTAAAAAAAATATTGGTTACACGAGCTTTTTTCATTCTATTATGTGACGAAGAAGTGCATTTCACAATTATTAGTATTTATACACTAGACGTATCCCTACTAATTTTTAATCAGAATGCACAGACTCAATTGAGAAAAACTTAAATTTACCAAGGTTTCATTTTTTTAACAGGACATTATATAATTATGTAGTATGGCTATTAAGGGCAAACGAAAGTAAATGGAGTCGTATCTTCTGCGAATATATGTTGATTCAGGCCGATCCACAGTTGTAATATATTGGTAGAAAGTTAAGAAAATAATTATAGAGATAAAAACAATCATATCGACAATGGTAAAAACACTCGAAGGAAACTTAAACGAGTTGTAATAGAATTGAAGCTGTGTATAATTATTAATTGTAATATATTTCACCTGTGTAATCTTCGCAAGAACATTTCTGATATCTGTTCAATAATGAAATACTTTAACTTTTTATTCCAGATATCTATTATTCATTTTTTTTATTTAAAATGCGTGTTTTGGAATTGTATGCAGGAATAGGAGGAATGCATATTGCTTTTAAAGGTATTCAAAATATCAACTAACGTTACTTTAAGGGTCTACTGTGAAACATGAAGTAGTTGCTGCCGTAGAGATAAATGATGTTGCAACTGATGTATATAAGTACAATTTCCCCAATACATTGACGCTAAATCGTGTTATCGAGGTAATTAGTTATGTGCAACGTTTTTAAGCCCTAGAGTTTTAGTCCAGACTATGTGTGCAGCTTAAATGCAAATATATGGAGTCTCTGTCCACCTTGTCAGCCATTCACAAGGTTAGGGAAACGCATGTGTGAAGCAGATAAGAGGAGCTCTTCGTTTTTTCATGTTCTTGATCTAATAAGCATGTGAGTTCAATCACTTCATAAATAAATTCTAGTCTGAAACCAACAGGAATTATACTTGAGAACGTAAAGGGATTTGAACATTCTGAACCATGGCGACAACTGATAGAAGTACTAAACAGTTGTGATTATGAATATCGAGTAAGAGTACCTAATTTTACTCTCATTTTCTTTGAAGCCGGATATTAAATCATTAAATTTTATCACTTAAGATTTAGATCTTTCATATATTATTAAACCATTTCTGTATAGCTATTTGTTTACACTACGACATTCTGCGAAAAATAACCATACGGTACATTAAACGAAATGAACTGATTATCATTTGAACCTAACGGTAGACAAGTCCGCTTATATCAAACTGATGTCATTTTATCAGTCACCGAAGAAATAGTTCACTTCGTTTTGTCGGATAAATATTATACACTGTAGATTGTTAGTGCTCGTTGTCAGGAACGGTAATGAAAGCTCCGCAAATTTAGCTTATTAAGGTAGTCTTTGTAATTATTGAATTCCATGCACGTTTAAGGGGACTTGACAGAACAGAAGTAACATCCGAGTCTCTCTGTAATACTTCCCATCAATTTAAGTTTCAAGTCTGTGTTATGTGCTTTTTCAAAAGTTATTGTATACCAGTCATTTGTAAATGTAGTCACGTTGATGGGACTTAGGCATCTTTGTGTGAAAAAGTAGGAATAATTACGGAAGTTTTGACGACAATCAACTAGAAAGCTGTATGACCTTGATGAAGCTAACATATTATTCAATCTGTCATGGTGACATGTAAACGAAAGCTGTTCGCGTTGTACCCCAGAGTAGTAAAGTCTCTGTATGTCCCAATAGTGTAAATTGATGAATACACGACCTATCATTCCAGCTTAAAACGAGACCTAGGTAGATTAGATATGAAATTCCTGAGCAGTTATAAGAACTGCTGATTTATGGGATTCAAGAAGGTTGAGAATTAATTGGTTTTGAGTCATATCATTTGTTAAAATATGTAAACATATGTGATGAGAATGATTGTTAATTACCAGGACCATAATCTAAGGAATAAGTTGAAGACTATTCAACATAGTATACTTGAGAATGGTTTATAGCGCTTTTATGCGGAGGTTTATTTAACTCTTCTTAGACGACATTTACTTATATCCCACTATCACTTGTAACCCAAGTTTTCTTCTGTAACCGCAAACCATCCATGTTTACTAACTTGAAAGTAACTTTGTTTTCGGGAAAATCAAGGTTGTTTAGCAAGTGCGTCCACATTATGAGAACCTTACAAACCGTTACGTGAAATTATTTTGACTTGTAACGTTCTTTAGGAATGAAGATTAATTCTCCTAGGTTATCTGATTAACTTGATGTCCACAAGTAATATTCTTGCGAAACGGAGTCTTTTGCTAGTGTTATTGAAGACTTGTTTTAAAAAAATTAATTCACCAAACCGTAAATATTTGGTAATTACTATTAGTGTTGCAAGAGTTACTGAAGATTAATAACCGTTACCAATAGAACTATGAGTAAATAAATATCTATGATGTTTGTGTTATCATTTACATACAACTAAGTGTTTGATTTTAACAATAAACCAATGGTAGATTTCATCAGAAAGCTTTATTAGCCTAATTTGATTAAATTTAAATTTAATTCGCATCTGCATGTAAATATAACTACTGAATGTATTTCTCGATCAACTAACGTACTACGTTTTATATTTATATATCTAATTAATTTGGTTTATATTTTAGCAATTTTTACTTTCTCCTCTGCAATTCGGCATACCTAACTGTCGCCTTCGTTTCTATCTTCTTGCTCGTTTGCGTTCATCATCTTGGAATTCAAATTTTAAGATGGGACAATCCGAGTCGATTGATATGCGACCACCGGTCGATGCACCGATGTTACCTGGCTGTCAATGTACTTCATGCAGTGGTGTTATCAGGTAAATATTTTTGAGTTTCAATAATTAGTGTAGAATTCCATATTCTTTTATGTTTATGAAGCACATTTCATCTGAAAACAATGATGCGATTGAAGAACAATATAATTTCCTGAAATACTTAAGAGCTCTTCTACCCTAGTTAATAGCTCATCGACAATCCTTATATTTAACTTCTAAACAGATCGAGTTTGTGAAATATATGTTCACAGTCTATTGTTTATGTATGTATACTTTATACTGTGTTCCAATCCAGCTACTATATTATTAGTCATTAACTATGACAGATTTACCTGATAGAGTTAATTTTCAGTTCAATGAACTTAAGTGACCACAGATTGTTCCGATTCACTATTTCAAAAAAGCAGCTTGTTCAATATTTCTATTCATTTGAATCCATTTCATCTATCCTACAGTTTTCCACTCTTCTACTTATATGAATCAATTACGATGATGGACAATTCTTTGAGTGCTTGGTTTTTATATTAAAAAAAAACAGGTTCCTCATGTAGTTTTGTTGCAGATAATCAAATATAGTGCAGGTGCTCCTTAAAGTAATATGAACCTGATATCTTCCGTTTTTATGAATCTATATTCTATTGGCATGAAATGGAAATAGGTTTATTGTCTACACAAAGATCCTGTTTAATAGATACCAATAATATTTCATAATTAAAAAATGAAGCGTTTAAATTGCTGTAGGCCAGTATTTTTTCACTAAAGAATAACTGGTGAGACTATAATTTATGGATGACCTTTGAGCGGAATGTCCATCTACTTACTATGGCTAAATGAGGGTTATAAAGCAATATGATAAGATTATGATTTACAGTTAATAGTTAGGGTTAGGAATTAGGTTTATGGTTTTCATCACGAACTGACATCAGCTAAAATGCCAGGACGCTATTTAGACAATTGAGTAAATAAATTTCGAGCCAAAATCCGAGATCTGTCATCCTAAATCTGATTGGTTCGTACATAAATTAGAGTCTCACCTAATAACTATTTCACGTGGCTCTAAAAACTCAGTAAGGGACTTTATTATCAAATAACCTACAACTGCTAATAATATTCGACCTTCAAAAATCTGCGTTTTTCTTTGCAAAACGTATATATCCGTGTATATATTTTTCTTATATAAGCCATATAGAACATACAGATGACAATTTCACTGAATATATCCAGTTCTGTCGACCAATATCGGAGTTTGTATTGGTACCAAGTGATAGTCCTAAAGAGGTAAGATTATATGAGTTAACTTGCCTACTTTTACAAGTTATACTTTCTAGATGAGAAGTGCCTTCAACGTTATTTCCGTGTACTTGATATCGTCAGGTCTTGTGATAAGAAAACAAGATGTTTTACAAAAGGTTATTCAAAACGATTGGAAGGTACAGGATCTGTATTTCAAACATCTATGGAAAATGAAGTAAGTTTCTTCTATTAGTAAGAAGAAAAGGCCTATTTTGTTATTAAGTTATGATAAGGTAGGTGTATGCCTCTTTTCTTAAATGTGAAGAATGGTATTTTTGTTTAAAAAATTCTCCACTACGTATAGCATTCTTTTAGAAACTGGTTTAAAAAGCATATTTGCTCAACCATCGAAGAATTAACGATGGTCTGTTCACCAATAGAATCTTTTGTTTGGGAAAATTCGTATGATGAGTCATGGTAATCGTCTTAACTGGTTTCGGTTTTATTGATACTTATGAATAAAATACTAATCTGACTGAAGGTTAAATAACAAGTGTAGCAGATCAATACGAATTCAGTTATTTTGTGAATTTTCCTTAACCGTTTGCAATATTGAAACACTGATATTAATCACCAAAGGAGCAACAAATACTCATAATCTATGTCAATATGGTCTTGAGTAACATTGAGTTTGACATGTAGACATACAATTATTGAAATATATTTGCCGGAAAATTAGAAAGTTTGTTCAGTTATAGACGAAATGTATAAATATTCTAGAAAAGGAAATTATAAAGAACATGGGAACAGAGTCGTTTGAAATTGGAGATTTGTGTCAGAGATAATGCAGTATTAAAAAAATAGATTAGTGCTAAGACAGTCTCAAGAATAGTCAAATTTCATTAGAAGAGCTAAGATCTCTCCCGGAACGATAACGGATCGTATACTTTTTACCGATTCGATTTTCCACATGACCTTTGCCCTCTGCTAGATTGCTACATGCTCAAAGGTCATGTTCTGCTACTATAGTAACAACTTTCGTACCAATTTCGTTTGGGTTGCTTGTGCTACTACAGATATCAGGTTACCTGCAATTCCGTCTTCTTCCTGTCTTAGCCATTGAGGTTTAATGTGTTGAGCATAATTGACTATTGTCAGCTCCGAAGAGAACCGATCACATTAAGGAAGCTCAATCGTTTTCGTTCTTTAATCCGTAACATCGTAGACCGTACTGAACCCCAGTAATAAGACACAACAGTTAGCTGAGTAAAATTGAGAAACAAGAGTTAAGAAATTAGGAATGATGATTAAGGTCATGATAGATGTTCAATTTATCAGTTGAGAAAACTGTATACAAATATCAGTCATTTTAATTAGTACAGAGGTAACTAATAGAATTAGAATAACCCGTTTACTTTAACTATCTGGTATGTATCTGGTGTTTTGTGAATTTTAAACATGTACAGACCTATCTTATAAGTTCAGTGCGCCTACATAATCATTATAAGATGAATTCAGTATTAATCATTATTATTCACAGTAATTTTCATTCCACACTTATTCTCCTTTGACTCATATGTATATTTTTAATTTCTAGAGTTTAATGCTTTTTCAATCTTTCCGGGTCGAGAAATAGATACACTAAATTTAGTTGTTTATCTGGCTTTAGATATACGTAAACTATCGTTTAAATCACAAGCAACGTGTTGATAAATTTAGTCTTGAAATATTTTAGAGTATGCTTGTAAGGTAAAAATTTATATTGTTTGTTAGACTGTTAAAGGCAGTGTGTATATATTGAGAAATCTCCATATTTTACTCTCTATGAAATGAACAAGGATACTGTTGTGGACATTTGCTCATCAATAAAGAGGTTGCTTGTGAATACATAACTTCGTTCACTTCATAAGTATTGTTAAAATCTCTAAAGATATGGTTGAAAATCTTATAAATAAACGTTACACATAATTACTAAGTTGGTCGGTACATTAGAACTGCATAAGAAGTTTACGGACATGTCATTATTTTGCTATTTGCTAATCGCATATGAGATTATCTACTCGCTATATTATTGGTCTGGTTATAACGTGTCATAAATTCATATCAATTATTATCTTCAACAAAAATCTGATTTCTAGTATTATTTTTTCGATACAACTCCAGTCTTGAGTAGTTCATATGTCCTCCTTATAACAACTACCGAAGAATCTAGATTTGTTTGTGTTACAAGGATATGGATTGGATTAAAGCACGTTCAGTTCAGGACTGCGTTGGAGCACGCCGATTGGCCATTTATTGCCCAAATCAACACTAGCGGATATTGGAGACCCTAGATTCTTATTGTTTAATAGTGTAAATATACTAACGTTTTTCTTACTGTAATTGTTATTCCCTATCAATTTAGTTTATTTGGAATGTAGTTTCGTTCTTATTCTACCGTGTTTTGATTGAGACCAGTCGAGTGAAGTAGTGCCCTAAAAATAGTAGGCAATAAGAGTAGCAGAGTCGTTTAAAGAGAGGTCTTAATAGTTTGTTTCCCTTTAATGATAAATTTAAAGTATTCAATAATTTCCTTTCATAATTTGTATACATGCAACACAGTGCTTCGGGTTATTCTGTCGTTAATATTAGAGACTGGATTTTGGTCAGTTTTGGTTACTGTATGTACATCCTGTGCTGGCTGCCATTATGTTACAAGTTTTTTTAAATAAAATAAGTGCTATGTGGCAAGCAGTGGAATCCAGGAAGTGCGTCTCGTCCTGTTTATGACTCTAGCTGGGTTTACCTTCACCTCAGAGTTGATGTTCATTCCGGGATTGAAAACCAGCTCGTTGCATAATTGAATGGCTATCTAGATTCACTAGTTAGGTGGATAATCCCCTGAGTATTTAAAGCGAAAGATACTGGGTTTCAGTCTCGGAGTGAACATAAACTCTCAGATGAGGCTGCACTAAGCTGACGAGTTCCAAACAGGACGAAAAGCGGTTCCCGAATTCCACTGTTAGTCATTGTGCGTCTGTTCCGTAATAACTGGTTTTTGTTTGTACTAATTGGTGACTCTCTTCTCTTTCTGACTTATAAAGACAAGTGAAAAAATAACCAACTACTATGAGGCCAATAAAGAAGATGAACAAGCTGTGTTACAGTATGCCAAACTATTGAAACTACGTTTTTTCCATTCTCGTGAAGTAGCCAATATGATGTGTTTCCCAAAAAGTTTTGGTAAGTTGTAATTAAAATATATTGTATTGAAAAGTTTAGGAACTCTATCACAAATATGTTTTTTTTTGTTAAAGTCTATTATATTTTCAACTTTTGATATCTGTCGGTCGATTTAAATCATCGTCTAAACATAATATATCATTCAACAAAAAAATTCACTCCAAATATTGTTTGCAGTTTACTCAACTTTAAATCATAATTTTTTCTGAAGAATAATGTTACTAAGAAAGGAAAAATATAAGAATTCAACAAAATCAGTTATCAATTACGATATTTCGAGATTATTAATTAGCATTCCTGCATTCTTAATTCAAATATTCTGTTCTGAATTTCTCATTATCCAAACAGTAAAGCGTTTAAGGCTTATTTATTCTCTTACTTGATGGATTTGTTTGGTTTTATACACACAGAACTCAATGATTGTCCCTCCATCCAGCTAATGGATGTGGTGTACAAGTTGATGTTAATTGATAGATATATTTTAAATAATTGTTAGTTTTCAGTTCTAGATTTCTTCCAAACATGATATTTGGTAGTTCACTTTCTTCGCGTTTACTTCATACACATGTCTTAGTTGCAAAATCTAGTTTATTATTATTATCATGATTATATAGAAAGACTTCGTAGATTGCGATACTGATGATAACAGTTTTGTAAAGCAATAGGAAAGAACAGAAATCATATAGTAGCATCACTGAAAGTGGTAAGTAATGCAATATAAATTCGTTGAATATTTTATATGAACATTCGTCAAGATTAGAGCGAATAGTTTAAAAGAAATTGGACGCCGAGTATAGAGAAGTCATTATATGTGAAAATTATATTTGAAATAATCTCAACAATTGAAATTTAAATAATTCCAACGTTTCGTCCAGCTAACTTTTCTGGACTTCTTCAGGGTAATAATCAAAATCATCAAAGAAATATATAGCTTTTAACAATCATGACTATACTGTGTTACACCAATCGAATTTAGATGTTGATGTTTGTAAAATAGGATAAAATGAGTCAGTTAGCCACAAATCATGTGAAAAATTCAACTACATGGGATCGTGGATCAGCACTGCTGAGGAGTCCCATACTAGGACGAAACGGTCGTCAAGTGCTTCCACGTTTTCCATGGTGGTCTCGCTTCAAATGACTCATGATTTCAATCAGTGAATTTTCTAAAATCTCCAAAAACCCCTTCTGAAAATACATAATTGTATTGCTAAAAACTCATTGAATTCAGTCAAAAATAACCATGCATGTGAAATAAACAGGTTGAATAAAGGGAAAATTCAAATTACTTGTCATACGAAAATTTGTCAGGTAGTCGTTAGTTAAATATCATCCTTTCGGTTCAGGCTGTTCTTGTTCCCCCATATATGCAGCACTTCTGCTGTCAATCTTTCTTTCTGAGTGTTAAAACCTTTCTGAAGTATTTTAGTTTCTTCAAAATTAATCCTGTGTCCTGTTTCTAACACATTTAACGCTATTGCAGACTTTTTCTCTAGTTTCTTCAAATCACCCGAGGATTTGGGAACATTTTTCAAACATTTTTTGTGTTCCTTCAACCTTACATTCAATTGTCTGGATGTTTCTCGAACAAAGGCTGCATTACAGTCATGACAGTTGATCTCATACACAATATTCTGTTGTTTTCCCTTTGGTAACCTGTCCTTAACTTCCACTAATGTCGATCTTAAGGTGTTACTCGCCCTAAAATACACTCTTATATCATGTTTGTTTAGAATACTCTTGATTTCTTCTAATGTTCCACTACGGTATGGGATGACTACGGTGTACTTCCACACTTTTCGTATACATTCTAGTTTAGTTTTTTATTTTTAATAATCTTTAAAAATATTGTAGTGTAAAAAATTTAATGAACAGAAGTGTTAAGCTTGTGACAAATAAGGAAGACCAACGAACTGAACTGAATAAAGTATTTTCTACTCTTGAGAATAACAAATACACAAAAGTTTTTAAAGAAGATTGTTATATACGAAAAGTTTGGAAGTACACCGTAGTCATCCCATACCGTAGTGGAACATCGGAAGAAATCAAGAAGATTCTAAACAAACACGATATAAGAGTGTATTTTAGGGCGAGTACTTTAATGCAAACTCAGATGTTCTAGGCAAACAGATTTTCAAAATCGTTTTGTACTTTTTGACACAATTATTATAACCACTATGGCTTATACGTCATTCCTCTTCATCAAGACCGATATTATCACTTTACCGAAGTATATATATTTGTCATTAAGAACCTGGGATTTTTTGCCACAGGTGGATTTTGGCTACAAATACGATTCCTTCAAACCACTACGAAATTCTAAAATCTTATATGTCCGAACACATGGTCAGTCGATACTTAAAATGATGAATCAACATATTTTAAAGTTTGTAAAGGCATTATTTACATTTAGCTAAAATAAATTGAACCAATGGTTAATTATAATTGATTGTCTTGTGTAATGGACTGACCATTCATTGTTGTTTAGAAGTAGTAGTATATGTGTGCTGTCATTACGTTAGTCCATCCTGTATTTTATCCGTGTTATAACTGCTCAATTGAAAGGTAAAATTACCAAAGGTATTTATTACAACACGGTTTCAGAATCAATATATCATCGTTATGCTTTAAATCAGATCTCACTTTCAGCTTGATTCACAAAAATGTCGACAATGACCAAATTACACTAACTAATCACATTTGTTTGCTTATTTGCATTCATAGAACATGTATTGCCCTTTGATTTTAATAGACACCTCAAATTGAGTACTATCGTCCTTATTGATAGACTTCCATGGAAATATTTTTACGGGCTATTTCTACCTCCTTGCTATTTTCTTTTGTCAGTATTTTATTTTAATCTATGTTTAAATGAAACTTATTCTGTTGGTGAAACTTCCGTAGTGTGTCATTCTCAAGGAATACGGCCGATAACATTTACTTCTTTTGTAGCGCTAGTACCATATCACGCGGGCCTCACCACTTTATAAGTCCGCCTAACCTCGCACTTATTTATTAACTTGATGAGCGCTAGTGAATAAGGGAAGAGAATAAGACAAATAGGAGGATGGGTTTCGGATATGTATATTCCATACATCCGTTAACGTAAACAGAGAATAATAGTAAAGAAGCTGGTCGGACAAGCCAAATGTGCCAACTCAATTTAATAAAGCACAACTCAATACTTACAATCAGATAGAAAAACAAGAAAAATAAACATAAGTTGACCTGTTTGCGGGTTTCTTTTAAATTAGCCTAATGAGTAGCCTTCCGCTACTTCTCTAAGTAATGTTCGATATTTAAATAGCTTTAGGTCTAAAAGACAGATGTATTGATAAATCATATGTATTCAATTGTTCATTAACTAGTCATTTCAGTAATTGTTAATGAAGTTTCTCTGACAACTTGAATATTTATCTAACAGATTTTCCAGAACACATAACGGAGAAACAACGTCTTCGTTTGTTGGGTAACAGTGTGAATATACTTGTTGTCAGTCACTTAATTTACTGGGTTTTTGGGACGTATTGAAAACAATTTACTCCTTATTAATTTTATACTATGTAAATAAACATACTATTTTTAATAAAGCAAACGAATATATTCTGTAAACTAAACATTATTTCTCGCGTAAAACCAGAACGTACACCATTTGAGAATGTATAATCACCAAAACTGGGAGACTAGTAGAACGTCTACCTTGTCAAACAAATATTTTCCAACGTTTATCCTAAGTTAACCTTATTTACTTTCTGGACGATTGATTTCGCCGGAGACGATATACGTATTTATTGGCGATTATTAATCTGACTGTCACATAATATCGTAATCCTCTGTCAATAGCAACCTCAGTCTCCTCCTATTCAGAATTCAAAGTGAGACCCCTAACCCCGTTCTGAAATACAAAATTTTCAGGTGATTCTAGGCTGATTATTTGTCAGCCATTTTGGCTGCCATAAGCTGTCTACAATACAATGGATAAGTAATTCGGTCTTTTATCACTGCTGCCCGATTTAACATTTAAAGCATAATAAACTACTGTGTTGTTTTGTCTGAATGATATTGTCTTTTGTTTAGAGACTTTGCAGCTTCAAACTAGTGTTTTAGTTTATGTAATCAGTGGAGAATAGTATATTCTCTTGAGAAATATCCATACTGGTGTTGCTATCATTTTGGGTAAATCAGTCGATAGAATAGTGGTATTGAGCTTCGAATCACTGGAATATCACACAACGTAATGTAATTTTTCTGTTATATTGGACTATAGAGGGCAAATTGTTTAACTAGCTTTGGTCTCACAGACCTCCGTATCGTAACCAAGGTCTTCAGATCATACATATATATATTCTATGTATTCTGTGTTGAAAAACAGGGAGTAAGTCCTACCAAATTATGGCCGTTGAGTCGTATGACTTTCACCTTTAGATTTAAAAATTGGTTAGCTCGACACTTCTAATCAACATTGTTTTACGAATGTACCTCCCACGAACCATCACTGACTAGTGGGTCGCAATTATATTTCAACCATTCCAGGCATAATCAGTTGTTTCGTATCTATCAGCTTTATGGTTACTTGTCAAACAGCACGTGATTTACTAGGCTTTTTAAGAACATTAACGGAAGTCAATTGTATTGTTTGTCGTGCAACAGTTAGATGTTAAGTTCCACTATATTTCAAATTAACCAGGTAAACGAAGTTCAACCTTTTTGCGACGGGTAAGGAACGGTTTATCACGAAGCTAATTGATTATAGAGAGCATGCGCTGCTACGCCACTCAGACTTGGAAATCTATATAGATTGTATTATCGAGTGTTTTCATTATTATTTTAGGTGTAGTATATATGTACTAAGCGTATTTTCTGGTTACGCTTATTCTTCCATATCCGACTCTCACACGTGGGCTTCTCTTCATACTCCTTTATCAACAACTAGACGTAAATTTATATTTTTATTATTGGAAAGGACTTAGGTATCACCCCGTGTGTTTTACTCTGCTAATCGATGAAGAATAATTTGTTTTGTTATTTCTGTCTGAATCCGAAACTATTCGAAACCGCCTGATCTTTACTTCTAAACTCATTTTGAAAAATTCACATCATACTTGATTACTATAAGAGAAACATCGCTATGTTGAGACGGGTTCAATGAAGAGCAACCGAAAAAACTATTTGGGCAAACATCTACACTCTTCCCAGCTACCCTGGGTGGGTTAAACTTGCAGCCTGTGATGTATATAATGGTAAGGGGGAATATTATCATAATGTATTACATCGTGACTCGAGTAGTGGTTATTTATTGTTGGTGAAATGACACTGAATCAACCATCAATTTGAACGTTTCTCTATCATAAGAGAATGTTAACTAAACATTGAATAACTAATGACAAGTAGCCAAAGCTATGAATGAATAACGCGAAATAATCATTTCACAGGATGAAACTAGTGCATGCGTATGAATTATCAATTCTCTACCTTCCAATATGTGTCCGAAATGTCTAGAGGCTAAGTAGATTGCGAGTTCATTACCTTAACAGGGGCGTTTTGTCTTTCCTGGTTTGAGACGTTTTGAGAAGAACGCAATCAGTTTTCAGAGGTTTTCAAGCAGTTGATTAAGCATACCACCCCCCTGATTTGTTTGAAGCAGATACTTTTGGAGAGAATAGGAAGTCTGATTTCTAATTTGTTAACCAGTTTGCTTGAGCCAGTTAATCCTCTGGTTGTTTGCTAGCCTCAAAAGTCAGCCTGAAACATAAGTAGAATAAATTCTCATTTATTATCAAATGGACGGATAACACCGAACTGTAACAGGCAGCCAGATTCGGCCTATCTGGTGCTAGCCTCCTGAGTACAGCAAGCACAAATGCGCCTTCTGTTTTCAGTGAGCGACTTATCTCAAGCTTGCCTTTGGAAAATTTGAGGGTCCGATTAGATTACGCATGCAAACTTCAGTACATACTGTAACTTATCAGTGGCGGAATTCGTTCCAAATTTAGAAGAATTATGTAAATGTATTTGACATTTGTGAAATTCGTAGTTTCTTCAGATGCCAAACATTTTGTAGTGGAAAGAGGACGATGAAAATCCCTCCGCAGCATTTTTGTTGTACAGTACTATTATCTACCTGTTCCTTCTCCCATTATTCAAAACTCTTTTGACCACACTTTATGTGTTATATAGTCAAAAGTTTTCCTAACACATTAGAGTGCTAAACAACAAAAGAAACAGTTAATACTTAAGAGTTCAATATCCGAGAATCAATAAAAATATTCCTAACAATATGAGACCAAATATCTATCTTCAGGGACTCCATAAATCTTCTGAAGCAGACAGTCAAAGTGTAACAGAAGAGAACGATGAAAATCCCTCCGCAGCATTTTTGTTGGACAGTAATATCATCTAACTGTTTCTTCTCCCTGTCGTGTATTTTGACCTTTGTTCAGATCTCCTTTAAACACACCTTTTGTTCTTTAGTCTTCCTGCAACAGATTTTTGATCCAGTTGTATTTATTCTCAGAAATGATGCAGTATTAGCATCCACTGAAACGTTCAAGCCCGAATTTCAATCTCTAAAGTAAAATCGTCAACACTTTAGGCACCTCTACTTAATCTCCGCCACCGTTGTAAAGGTTATTCGTTTTTTATATTCTTGGGATCCTGTTTGAGCCGGGCATACGGTTGGCTGCACCTGGTAGGTTTAGTACTTATTGTGGTATCGACAGAACTGCCTAGATTGTCCACATTCAATTCTTTTAAACAAGTCAGTGGAGCACATTCAAAGTTCCAGAATGAAAACAAAGTTATGGCTTTAGACGAAATTTCCATTGATAGCTGCGCGCTCTATTTAAAAGGACAGTGGCGTTTTTTCTCGTTGAGTTAATTAACTGTTTTGGTCGTAAATTACGCATCAAAACTACTGTTTACACTTTAATTGCATCTACCCCAGTTAAAGTGATATTTTATTGAGTTTTTCGATTTTGCTTCTGTGTATTTATTGCATCGAAGCATACTTGGTCGACTTTTACTTGGTTTATTTAGTTAAGGTTTGAAAATCCTTTTACATATCCTGTTTTTGTCACCGTTCTAGTTGATTTTCAAGATGGCTCGGTCTACTCATAAATGTGGACAACCATACTGCTTATTTCCCGTGGATGAAGAGATGAAATGTGATGAGTGCAATAAGTGGTTCCATAAGATGTGCACCCGATTAAGCCCCACTGCATATAAAAGGTGCTCAAAGCCCAACTCTTTATTGGCTTTGTAGTTTTTGTTGCTCGAGCAAAACATTGCTTATCCAGGAAGCAATTAGTCTCCTGGTGTTGGCTAATAAGAAGGTTGATTAGGGCTGTACTGATAACATTGGTACGGATGGCGAAGATTGCGTTACTGTCGTAAGTGCTATCACGGCGCAAGCTAGACATCTACCTGTGCAACCCGCAATTAAACGTTCTCCCCCGAAACGATCTGTGAGTGACACGTCATTAGACGTTGGTGGCCATATTGCTTCAGCAGCAACCGGTGACCCAGATAAAACAATTACTGTCCCGAGTTGTTCTAATGTAGACGTTTCGACTGATGGAAAATGGATGACGCGAAAACGCAGAAGAGTAGGAAAGATAGCTAAAACTAATGACTGTTTACTTGGTAAGTCCTTGGTGGACTCTCAGACCAATCCGCCAAAGTCTCATGGTAAAGCTTCGTCTGACATTGTTGTTAGTCATTCGCTTGACTCCCAGGACTCTGTTAAAATAAAAACTAATCGTAAGCTACCAGTAGTTAAAATACAAGATCTAACGTCACGGTCGAAAGCTGTGAACACAGTTTCAAAAGAAGCTAAACCCATCCCTAGTTTAATTATTTGGAATCTAGAGGAGTCGAAAGACAACGACCCTGCTAAAAGACACGCACATGACTTGCAGTTAGTGGAGTCTGTGGTGAGGAATGTACTACCTGAAGAGGTTTCAGGGGTACATATTACAAAGGTAATACGACTTGGTAAATGGGTTGGAGGCGAGACCCAACCAAGAAGGATCCTGAAGCTGGTTCTCGGGAGTTTCGAAGAAAGAGACATATTATTGAAAAGCGCACTAAAAACTCGTGCCTCAAATATCCGTATTCGACCAGATTAGCCGCTTGAGGATCGAATCAAGTGGAAGAATGCTCTTACGGAGTTGAGGACTCGCAAATTAAATGGCAAAAATAACCTTACCATTAAGGGTTTTCGGGTAGTCAGGTCTTGGAAGCCAATGCTTCCGAGGCCTGTATGGGTAGAACGATTGATCTCCAAAACACCTTAAGTGTGTGCTACACGAACGCTCGTAGTCTTAGAAATAAAACGTCCGAGCTAAGTCTGATGGTGCAAGAATTATGTCCCGATATAATCGTTGTTACAGAAACTTGGTTCACCGTTGATATAGACTGTTCTCCTTTCATTGCTGGTTATATCTGTATCAGAAGTGATAGAGTTTCAAGTCGCAAGGGGGAGGTATAATATTTTACGTTAGGGATCACTTTCGTATACAATCAACCATATCGGAGGCTCATATCAGTGGCACATGTGAGGTTGCATGTTGTAAGATTAAATCTAGAAATGGGTTAGTGACTACAGGGGGAATATACCGTAGTCCGTCTTGTCTGGCTGACGACTTTATCCTAAGACACATCTGTTCTTGGAGTATGGCAGAATGTTGTCTCATCATTGGGGACTTCAACGCACCGCATATCAACTGGATAGATCTTACAGCTCCAGGTAGTGGTTTCGATAGCGACCTTTTATCTACCGTTATTCAGTGTGCACTTGTACAATGTATCACAAAACCGACACATATTGATTTGCAACATGTTCCGTCACTGATGGACCTCGCCCTCACCCACCACTCTGAGGATGTCTTTGATATCCAGCACCTTCCTCCACTAGTGAACAGTGATCACGTTGTAATTCGCTTTAAGTTTAGGACACATGGTATACAATTCGTATCTGGCGAGCCAATATTCTAGCGATCAGAAACTGTGCTATCTCGA